TTTACATATTCTATATATAGAAATAGAGAAACTTTACTATTTTATAGATGCTCATCTACCAATAGGTTTACCAACATATATTTAAAAGTTTCTTTTAAACTAATCTTCACTTCAGCTCGGCAATGTTATGAAAACAGCAAAAAAATGCTTATGCTTACATTTTAATTTAAATATAATACCGTTCATGTTCAAGAAATACCGTTCTATAATACCGTTCATGTTCAAGAAATTCTGTCCTATAATACCGTTCATGTTCAAGAGCCCATTATTGAAAGTCTAGTAGGATTAGTTATTTTGTCATTCAATGATAAAAGACGTTGGGTTTTGTAAACAAACATTAAATCTTGTAGCAATGGTTAAAAAAAAAAGAAAGAAACTAATTTAAGGCAATTAAAAAGGTTTTGAAGACCAATCATATATTATATAAACTAAACGTCTAACTTGCGGAATTTTAATGGACGGAAAATGAAGCTCCTTTTTTGAATATAGTTCGCTATTTGTAAAAAGGCCAAAAACTAGAGCCGATTTAAAGAATAAAATTTAAAAATGCAAGTTAAAAGTTCTTATTAATTAAAGGCGATTCAAACTCAGGTTTTATTAATTTTAAAATATTTACAAAAGTTTTTTTATGAGTCTATGTTTATTAAAAAGTATTATAATTTTGATTTATATGATTTAACTTTTCTCTTCTTACATCGAATCCTGAATGAGTTTAAACATTGTATTGAGAAACACTTTAGCCAGCACTAGTTTTACAATTTATTACCGAACTGCTGTTACAGCTTATCATCTACCGACAAGGAGCTAAATGGATGCTACCGTTTAGCTCCTTGTCGGTAGACGATGAGATGAGCTACGATTATTATTATTATTATTATTATTATTATTATTATTATTATTGCTATTATTGCTATTATTATTATTATTATTATTATTATTATTATTATTATTATTATTATTATTATTATTAATTCATAAATATGCTTTAAAAGCGTCTGATGTTTCACTTTTCTATTCAAAACTTTTATACCTTTCTAATTGCAAATGAATTTAGGAATCATAAATTATTATTTTACAAGTATTCTAATTTACTTTTAACACTTTTACATAAATAAAATTTATATTTAAAATATATATACTTCATTTAAGAAATGAAAAGTTAAACCATATTTGTGTACAAATTTAATCCACCATATGTAAAATGGGCAATAGCGGCTTCACTTTTCGGATCGAAGTTAGACATCTAGTTTATATTTATATTTATACTTGTATTTATTAATCACCCATTGTAAACAATACAAGGTAAATTACAATAAAGTTACAATTTTAAAAATAAATAAGTTTATCTTGGAATATTTGCTTTAAAAATAACTTTGAAGATTTTCCTTTGTTCCAATGAGTTCTAGACTAACTGAAACTCATTGTTAACCTTGTTAATCAATCTGAAGGTCCAGAAATTTCCAGAAGTTTCTTGGGTTTCTATTCTGAAGGTATTCCAGAAGTTTCTTGGGTTTCTATTTTTTGGCTTTTCGATTTTTGTGTATTGCTTAAAAAAAGGTATAAATTTGAGCTTTTTTGACAGCGTTGCGGAAAGTGAGCGAGCTTAAATCTTTTTCGAAACCCATTACACGCCATTTTTTCGCTCCTGCTTAACACGGGAGTCCATCCAAGATTTTAAATACAAAGACTTTTTTTAAAGAGAGTAAGTGTTGGCTAAGAGCTTCAGATGCACTTTTTGTAATAAAAGAATTGATTTCAATAAGTTCTTCGTCATAATTGCTATTTGTAAAGTAAAAACTTTTACTTTACAAATAGCAATTGTTACTTAAACACTCATTATAAAATTGTATAAAACTTTCATTTATTCCACGCATAATTAGGAATGCCATTATTGTCTATAATTTTGTTAACATTTTCTTGGAGAGATTGTTAAAAAAATTATGGACTCTGAGCCCAATTGATATTGGCAAATAATCACTCATATTTTGAGATTAAAAAAGGGCTACAATACAGTTTTCATAATGAAGAGAAGTATTCCATAAGAGCTATGTGATCAATATAAGATGCGTTTGGTAATGTACGATGTTGATACGTTATTTTAGAGCCAGAACGTTTAATTACGTCTTCTAGTTCAAAATCATTTGTTTTTATAGGTTCTGATATAGCCGTTGAGTAGTTATTTTTTCGTGAAATTTGACCCTACTAATAAAACATATATTCCGTCAGGAAAAAAAATGGTTGAAAATAACTAAGTACAATTACTTCGCCAACACTTTCATAATTATTAATAAGGCCTTTAATTATATTTTATTGATTCGTGTATTCATCCAAAGATGTTCAAATTTTTCGCGATGAAAAGAGGTAAATACCAATAATGTTAGTATAGTTTGTAATAAGGTTTATTACAAGAATATAATCATCTTTGTGGAGAATAGTTCAAGTTGACAAACTATTCTTTGGCTAGCTTTTTTATTTTTTTGGAATTTTAGTGCCGAAAACAGGCTGGACAACTTTTTGTTTTTTTTTTCGAGCAAATATTTGTTTCTTGATCGGAGGTCTTTAATTTCTACCTATAATGATGAAATTATTTAGATCATCGACATTGTTTATTGTGTATTTTTGAGTTTGTTTTTTGAGTCTTTTTGCAAATCCGGCCCCGGCCCCAGCAATATTGTAAGATTGTAAGAATTGTAAAACAAGGGTTTGATAGCCGGGGCTAGAAGTAAATTTATAATTTTTGTTTACTATAATTTTATACTTATATTTACTATTTATTAAATTCTGGCATATATATTTATGCCAACATTTAATAAATAAGGACAGATGCAGTAAAAGGATGCAACTTCAAAAACTTCTAATTATTTTCAAAAGCATTAATGTCGGATTTTAATTGCGAGAGTATCTTACTGAGTGATCTTGACACCATATTTTTATTGTAAATGAAATCTTTTTTCCAATCACTCTATTGATAAAAACAGATAGAGATTTTTACGGACAGGACAAACTTAAAATATAAGTTGGGGTGATTTAATTTTTTTTTTTTTTACTTTGTATGGATTTTATCCACGTTTTAAACATTTTGAGTCTACTGTCGTATTTTGAATAAATAAATCCGGTCATTAATTTTTGTCAATCTTTATGACTGTTCCTATGATAAGCCAACTTTATCTTTGAATATAAAAGTATTGCTCAGCAAAATATAACATGAAAAATTAAATTAAAAATTTAAATATATATATATATATATATATATATATATATATATATATATATATATATATATATATATATATATATATATATATATATATATATATATATATATATATATATATATATATATATATCATAAAAAATGACTAAAATTATGGCCACAACTGCCCCAAACGAGAAAACAACAAGATAATAAAATATTTTTTTTACTATTCTTAACTAATTTAAATTCCATTAATAAATTTTTGATTTCATGGACTAACCTTTTAACATTTGCTGTTACTTCTTTTATTAATCCAACTTTTTTATTACTTTTTAAATCTACAAAACAACGACTATATAGATGCTGTTTTATAAAGTTTATTTTAGTGCAACCATAGTAATATTATTTAGAAAAATGTTATGTTTAAAGAAAAAAAAACTTCAAGCTTGCTAATCGCCATATGCTAATCGAACTTTGCTAACCGTCGTGAGCACGGTTTGTGACTGTGAGAAGCTAATAACAATTTTTTTATAGGGGAAGCGGAGCAAAACCGCCCCTGTAATGTGTGGAATAATTTTATATAAAAATAATAACAAAATATGTTTTTTTAACTGTTTATTTCAATAACCAGATTATTAAGCTTCAAATTGATACAATTAAGAAAAAAATGTTATCGGACAAAAATTATATTTGTGAAAAAAACGGGTTTTGCCCCCATTGTCAGGCACAACCACACCATCACAAAAATTATTGCGGGTACACTTTTCTTTGTATATTTTCTTTACAATTATCTTAGCTCAGATTATTTGCTGATTTTGTTGCACGTTTGCATACTGTATAGTCATTCTTTGTATTTAAAGACTTTTCTCAGCAAAACTTGCCCAGAGGTGGGGTTTGAACCACGGATCTTACGTTTCTGAGGCAAGTGTGCTACAACTGCGCCACGGCTACTTTTCGATGCACTCTTGCACGGCTGCATTCCATGTACGGCTGCATTCGATGTACGGCTGCATTTGATGTACAGCTGCATCCTTGCACGTCTGCATTCGATGCACGGCTGCATTTAATGTACTCTTAGTTTTATATTTTAATCAAAAACTCATTTATAAAAATTAGATAAAAAAATCCAAAATCTACTTTCCAACATCTCAAAACAAAACTATTTCTATTTAAGTTTTTACAAGAACGCATTCAAGTGTGACAATTGTAATTATTGTTTTTCGTAATTACCTAACTTTAATGAATATCAAAAGTATGCGGTTGTGCCTCCTGTGTATCTATGCAGTTCTGCCCCAGAGGACAGTTTTTAGAAATAATACAATTTCATAGCTTGTTTATTAGGTTATTTTGATATCAGAAATGATTTTCACTTGATGAAATAACGCTGATAACACATATCTTTAACACTAAAATCAAATATTGCTTAATCCTTAAAAAAAAGGTCTGGAAATGTATGATTTAAATATAATATTTTTATCAAAATAAACATTACTATAAATAAACTTCTTAGAAACGTAACAGGTACTTTTTTTGACATAAGCAAAATGAAGGAAACTGTTTTAATAACGCGTGGTTTGTTTTTTACCATATTAGATAACATTTTTTAAAGGGAAATGTTAAAAAATACTTGGGTCTCCATATGCAGTTATGCACCCATTTCCCCTAATATTTTTTTAAAGTGTGTTTTACATAACAATTTCAAATGCGCATTTAAAACTTAGATAAATAAAATGTAACAAAGTTTCTTTTTAGTTTCTTTATAGTTTCTTTGCATTATTTTGTAATACAATGATGAAATTGTTAGCAATAAAATATACAAACGTATAAATAAAACGAGTTACGAAGGGTTTTGAAGGGTTTGTTAAGTCATCATTTATTATTCGTTAATCTAATTGTCTCTTTTTACTTCCTCTGCTTCTTTGATCATATATATAAAGATGTTTGAATTTTTCCATTAGATAAAAATGAAATCTTAAAGATGCAAAGCACTGCGTGGAATATACGAAACCTGCTACGTGTCGGTAAAAACTGCTAACTGCATATAACAAGAAAAATGTTTGGGTAGTTCATACGTTTCATAAATTTATCGCATCTTGGACTGCAGCAATAATTTATTTCTAAATTCAAACAAATGGAAATAAAGATTGTAAGTAACAAAAATTTATAGATAAATATAAATATGCTTAATTACAATAAACGTATATTCCTTTATAAATTAAAAAAAAAAGTCTTTTTCAAGTAAGTTTTAGCAATTAATTAGTAAATTAAATTTTTTCAATCCATTTAAGTATAGTCAGGTCAGTTGGTAAATTAAAGTATATCGGGCCAGTCAATTGACCACGACACCCTATTTTACAAACTTAAAAGTTATGTAGCCAATAACTATAATTTAAATTGTTTTGTTTCTATTTTTAAAATTGCAAAAAAATGTCTATCTAATGACAAAACCTTCGCTAAGTTAAAAAACATTAGTTGCAAAGTTCGACAAAATATTACCTGCGGAGTTCTATAGGGATCAATTCTATGGTCCTTATTTTTTATTATTTACATAATCAATATATTAAATATAAAAAATCGTATATTAAACTTCAATCTTTTTGCAAACTTAAATTTTTTTATACCTACTCTAACATTAAATCAATAAATGTGAACTTAGAACGTTAAATAATAAATAATAATAAATAAATGTGAATTTAGAACTTTACAACCTCAATGAATGGTTTAACGTTACAATAATTGTTAATGTGAATTTAGAACGTTACAACCTCGATGAATGGTTTAAACCCAACAAACTCTCTCACTGAACACTACTAAAATCAAAAATAATTTCTTTTTAAACCTTCTAAGTCTGACTCCTATCCTAAAAAAATTCTTGGATATTTCGATAGAAAAAAGTAAACTAACAAAAGTTACAATATACCTTTTGTATTAATTAATACAAAGTGTACTTCAAAACGCGTTTTACTGTACAAATGTACAGTAAATTGCTTGAAAAATTATAATATATTCTTAGGCAAATAAGAGCAAACTAATCTAATATAATTTCAAAATAAAACTTTTCAAATCTAATAAAAATTTCAAAAAAGAATTATATATAAATTATATTAAAATTATTTAAATATTTTATTTTTAAAACTCTTCCCCCGTATCTTAAAAAAGGAATGTTACATCATATACATCATAACTTTTACGTCTTAGAACTATAAAATACCACTTAAAGTGTATTCGGAAGAAGAAATAAAGAAAAGTTTTAGTTTTAAAAGTATTTATATGATTTGTATTTATAAAAATGACAATCTCAGTAAAATAATAAAAAATACTTTTAAATCTAAAACTATATATACGTTTTAACAAGATCTTAAAACGCGTTTTTCCGAGTTAACAAGCACATATTAACAAATTTTCTTTTTTTGTTTGTTTGTTATCATAAAAAGATTTGATTAAGCAGCTATACAAGTTAATATCTTCTTGGTAATTTTGTTTTTATTTACCTTTTTATTATAACTATTTTTATAATAATTAGGGGAACAATAAATAGGGCAAGAGCTTTGATATATTTATAGGCAAAAGCTATTATATATTTATATGGTCGATTTTATTGTAAATAGTATTAGACGGCGAAGAAGAAAATTTGTTAACATTGTTTAGAATTAAAGCTGGCGGATTAATGAAAACATATTGCAACAACGATTATAAACGACAACAAAACCAACTTAATAACAAACAATAAATTTGATAACAGATAATAACAATATAGTTGAAATGACAGCAGAAAAAAATAAAAACATGTTCATATAAAGATGTAAAAAAATTTAACTATTATCATAATTAAAAATGATATTAACTTTTATTGCTCAATTCGGCTTTAACTTTGATCTCCAATTCTTTTTTAACGGGTTTCTCTAGAATGCTTTCTAGATAACTGGAAATAAGACTTCTAACATCTGAAAAAAGTTGTAATAAAATTTTCATAAATTAGTCATGCAAGTCTAAAAAGAACTTTTTTTTTTTTGCTTTTAATCAAGTTAAACTCTAATTATTGTTTTTAATATATTTTAAATTTATATATACATATATATATATATATATATATATATATATATATATATATATATATATATATATATATATATATATATATATATATATAATATATATATATATATATATATATATATATATTATACATATATATATATATACACATATATATACATATATGTATATATATATATATATACATATATATATATATATATACATATATATATGTATATATATATATATATATACATATATATATATATATATATATATATATATATATATATATATATATATATATATATATATATATATATATATATATATATATACGTGTGTGTGTGTGTGTGTGTGTGTGTATATATATATATATATATATATATATATATATATATATATATATATATATATATGTATATATATATATTTTCATATATATATATATATATATATATATACATATATATATATACATACACAACCATACACTCATACAAATATACATACATACATACATACATACTTACATACATACATACATACATACATACATACATGCATGCATACATACATACATACATACATACATACATACATACATACATACATACATACATACATACATACATACATACATACATACATACATACATACATACATACATACATACATACATACATACATACATACACTCATAAATCTATATAAAGTGCATCTATGTACCAAAAAAATTATTAAACAGGGAGGTTTAAATACAAATACCTTTACTTTGCTTCAAAATGCAACCTTCATGGTGTTCAGCATTAATTCCCAGGCTTCCTAATAAACGCTTAACCGTTGTAAGTTGACAATAATTATATTTATCTAAATATTTTAATAGTATCATTATAAAAATAATATAATAAACGAATTATTAAATGTAGTATAAATATTCGACATCATTTCAATAAACTTAACTGGTCGTTTTAGTTTAACGATATAATGAATAAAATATATTCATTTTCACATAATCACAAAATATTGATTGTTCTATAAATCATAGAGCTTTATATATAAAAACATATATAAAGATCTATGATTTATAAAACATTGAGTTATATCTTTACTCAAGGCAAAACTGTAGTTGTTAAAGTTCCAAATTTATTTGTATCAAAACTATATACTCCTTAAGTGAATCTATTTAAAAGTGAATCTATTTAAAAGTTCCGGTTTACTTACTGTCTTTGATAATCTCTGTTGCAAACGTTGCATTTGTCATTTGTATAAAAATGTACCCTAAAAAAATTGGATTTTATTAGCTTTTTTTTCATTTGAACTTAATTGATTCTTTATGGTTAATAAGTTGTTTATAATATTTTCAAAGTTGAAAACTTGTACCTATAATCACAGTAAAACCTCTTTTATCCATAGTTTGAAACAACAAGTTGTCTCAACTTGAAGCACAAATTAGTTTTAAAAAAAAAAAGTGTTCTGCTACTTATTTTTATAGTTGTCGGAAAAATAAATTCTATAACGCCTCCTTAAGACTAACAAAAAAAAAAAAACATTGTATAACTCAACTGGAGGGATTGCGTTAAATAAATAAAAATGCTTGCGCAAAAGAAAAATGAAAATACGCTGCGGATAAATTGGCATTAGTAACTAGTTATATAAAATTTAAAAACCTTGTAATATCTTTAAATACGAATGTTGCAATATTTATCTACAATGTCATCATCGCAAAACGAACCAAACAGAAAAATGAATGGTATAAAATGGTAGGCAAAATACAAAGCGTTTTATCTATGTAATCTTTGGTGATCTTTGTTCATTTTTGAGTTACAATCTTACATTACACAAAGCAGATTTTAGATCAATTGCTTAGCAGTTTTAATCAGTTTTAGTATTTTGCACTATCCCATTATTCTGTTTGGTCAAATACATAATATTTTAAGTTTGATAAATATATTTGGTATTTCGTAAATATCAAATGCAAAACACTGTTTTATATTCTACTTAATGTTTTGTAAATTTTTCTATGTTTCCAGGTCAACCGTCGTTTGGAATCCTTTTTTGTACTTTGTCAAACTGATTTGTATCTCTGCCCATTGTGTATTTCAGCCCAGTTTGATTTACTAATCTGTAGTTTAATTAATGGCTAGGTGCTCCGTAGTTGACGTATATATATTGTTTATTTGATTTTATTAATTTGTTCAGGTGTTCTGTAGTTTATTAAGTATATTACAATCTTTTTTTTTTCCTTTTTTTTTTTCGAGTACCATGTTAGAAAATAGTTACAATAATTTTGAAAATAGTTTCAAATAGTCTTTTTAAACTTTTGTTATAAATTCATTTATAATATAAATACAATCAAATTATAGCATAAGTTTTGAAATTTATATCAAAATAACATGATTTTATAATCAAAATTTAAAATAAAAAATAATAGGCAGAAAATAAAATATAAAACTTATTTTAAAAAAATTTTACAAAAAACGCGGAGAATTAAAAAACTTTATAATAATCAGATTGCGGAAACCCCGAGAAGATTGGTGGTCGCAGGTCGGTGGTCTTGTGACCAAGAATGCATGAATAGTAATTGCTTTACAATAGCGCTTAATGTAAGCATATACAAAAACATGTCAAATATGAATCTAACATAATGCTGTATTAAACATAATAGGTAAATTAAAGAAAAAACAAACACAATAAGGAGTGGTTGCAAAGGAACCAAAAAAATTTAAATAATTTAAATTAATTTAGAACTCTAAATGCGTGCTTTTAATATAAGGATTCTTTTATATTTTCTTTTGAGAAAAAGTATATACTTGAGTTGCATTTTAATTTTTGACGAAAATGAACTTATTATGTTTTTCAGATAAGCAAAATAAATTTTCAAAAAATTTGTTTACGTAACACGCCATTTTAAGTTATTATTTCTTAGATTTTCTTATTTTTGAATTTTTAAACTATTTTTTTTATTTAAGGAAAGAAAAAAATTAATGTCGTACATTACCAGGCACAAATTAAAATATTAGTTTATATATGTATATATACATGCATATATATATATATATATATATATATATATATATATATATATATATATATATATATATACATATATATATATATATATATATATATATATATATATATATATATATATATATATATATATATATATATATATATATATATATATATATATACATGCATATATATATGTATATACATAGATATAGATATATATATATATATATATATATATATATATATATATATACATGCATATATATATATATATATATACATGCATATATATATATATATATATATATATATATATATATATATATATATATATATATATATATATATATGTATATATATATATATATATATATATATATATATATATATATATATATATATATATATATATATATATATATATATATATATATATTATAGTTATATTATAACTAATATTTTAATATAAATAAAAATACTAGAAATACGTTTGTGTGTTTGTACAAAGTAAAAGCAAAAAAATATACCTTTTCGCTGTCATGGTTATTTTTAGAAATTATAGAATGTTTTTATGTTTAAAAACTCGAAAATAAATATGTTTAGTTATAAATAGAATAAAATAACAGGATGCTTTTAAAGTATTTTTAAATGTTATGTAATATACTTAGGTTATGTTACATCATTATTAAGGAGATATCACTAAAAGCATGCTTTTCTCAAAGCAGGGGCATTATCATAGTGGTTTTTAAGTTTTGTTTTATTTCCAATAGCCTTAGCTTTTGTATACGTGCATTACTAGAGTCTATAGTAATTAACTTTTTTAGCAATAGATATTAGCTTTAAAAAAATACCTTTTTTTGTTTAGTTTTAATTAGAATAAAAAGATGTTTTAAAAATCAAACATAACCTGTACTAATAATTCAAAATTACATATATATTTGAAAAAATAAAAACTTACCCTACCTAATAATTCAAAATAAATAAATTTAAAAAGTTATCACGCTTGATTAAGAAAATATTACACTACTTTAGTTTAAGAGAAATAAATAATAAATAAATAAGATGTCTAATAAAACATATAGACGGCGGCTGTTAAAAGCGGCTGTTATTTGTGTTTTTTGGTGAGTTAAAAACATTAGATGAATATTTGGTAAAAAAATATTTTTTAATTTATAACTTTTTCTACATATCAAAATTAGGTTCTCTAATTACAGTAAAAGCATCGCGCAAGCACATTAAATGTCATGCGCAAAGTTTGCAGAGGTAAACAAATATTTATCATTATTGCTGTAAGAAATTAAGGAGAATGTCTTCTCATTGTGCAGTTCTATATATAAAGAAACAACCCTCAAAATTTGAAGTTAATTGCATATCTGGTTAAAAAGGTATGAATGATTTGCTGTTCGTAATCAGACAAAAAAATATAATTGAGAAATCAAGCTTCAAATTTTAATTGATACATATATATATATATATATATATATATATATATATATATATATATATATATATATATATATATATATATATATATATATATATATATATATATATATACATATATATATATATATATATATATATATATATATATATATATATATATATATATATATATATATATATATATATATATATATATATATATATATATATATATATATATATTCAAATAATAGTAGTTCAAAAGAACTTATGCCTTAGGAACTTAAAATACTGATAACAAACTAGGTCTTTTCAATCCTTTTTATTCTTTTATGTCTGAAGTTGTAATCGTTTGCTTTTTACTAAAAACTAACTTCAAAAATATTTATTTGAAAAATTATTAGGGAGGGGGCAAATGCCCCTGCTGGTCGCCGTCCCCCGTTGCTAAGGGTTTTGTTTAGTAATTATATAAAATAACAGGATATATATATATATACTTATGTATAAACATATATATATACATATACATATATATATATATATATATATATATATATATATATATATATATATATATATATATATATATATATATATATATATATATATATACATATATATAATAAAATTTCAAAACTAATATTTAAACCCTTTCAATAATTTAACTCCTTTCTTCAAACTCACAATTTGGCTTTACGTTTTACGAGTGTAAAATGTAAAAAAGTAAAAATGTTTATCACCTTCTTCCAATTAGAAATCAATTATTATATAGTTTTAATAATGTATTTAATAATCTATCATCATTATCATCTTCAAAATCTTGTGTAATATTCGTTTTCATCGATATGTATAGCTATAGAAACCAATTTTCACGATTCATCACCATTTATTTATGTTTTTAATTCACGATTCATCGCTAAATATTTTCTCTTAGCTTATTATTATTAAGATTTTTATCCATTTTTTTAACTATAAAATTACAAATTCACTCACTCACGTAAAATCATTGAGAGAGAAGTTTAGGAGTACTCCTAATTCCTTACCTCTAATTCGTCAGTTGTACTTTTACTCTCTCTCTCTTTCTTTCTTTCTATCAATCTAATTAAATTTGCCCTAATTAGCTTCAGCTTTAGCATCGTAGTTGAAGCTGAAATATATACCATAATTCCTACAACTATTGATTTGCACCATTTATATTTTGTGAAGAAAATAGGCGTTGATTAAAAAAATATGTAAAGATACCAGTCGCAGGTGATTTACTACTTCTGGTCAGTATTTTTTTTTCTATTATTGTCTATAGGTTGTTCATTAAAAAAAAGGCTAATAAAATAAACGCGACTTGAAAATGATACGTAGATTTATATTCTTAAAGAAATGTGCCTTTAAAGAGCTACAGAGGTTAAAGAGTAAAAACAATAGCCAATATTTTGAATTAATAGGATAATAAATAAAACAAGACGTTTAAATGACACAGTAACGATATAAAAAATTAGCCAAACTTTTAAGGTATTCAACTACCAACGATATATATATATATATATATATATATATATATATATATATATATATATATATATATATATATATATATATATATATATATATATATATATATATATATATATATATATATATATATATATATATATATATATATATATATATATATATATATATATATATATATATATATATATATATATATATATGTATATATATATATATATATATATATATATATATATATATATATATATATATATATATATATATATATATATATATATATATATATATATATATTTCACATTTATTTTACAATAAATGTGA